TTCAGCTTGAGATGCTACTGCTAGTGAGTCAAACAGATCAGGCCAGCTGCAAGGGAAGATCCACATGCGCAAGTTACTCCAAAATGTTTACCACTACGCTGACCTGTGCTGCTGCCATGATCCAAGTTTTGAAAGTATGCCTTGAGGCCAGTCCATCAACGGCATGATGTCTTGGAGACTCTCGAGATACCCTGAAGCTTGAATACCTTGAACGTCAAGTGAGACAAAGTATATTCCCCTCTTGTTCATGGCATTGGACGGGCACACGCTCCCCGTATGTTCTGCGGTCCAGGGGCGGCTTGGTTCGACCACCACCTGGCCACCCAGCCTGGCGAATGGACCAATCGAGGAACTGGTGCACCAACATGTCAACACGTTGCAAAGTACCACATGGATGATAGACTTCGGCTCTACAAAACCCATCCGAGGGACACTTTTCTATTTGACTTCAGCATGCTTTAGCTCATCCCCAGAAACTCTGCATGGAGCGGGTGCCAAAAACCCTTCGGCTTCTTATGGAACCCGGCGTCCCTCGTTTCTGGTTTCTTCACAGTTTGCACGGCTGGCCGTTGGTGAGCTATACACGGCCGGCCCGTGCCCTTGGACAAAACCGACCTTTGCATCGAAACGACCACCTGCCAGGTTGCTGCAACGACTCGGTGAAGCGGTGAAGCGGCACAAACAAAAGGGTCAAATGGCCTGCGAGATTCCTTGAGCACATGTAATTGCATCTCCATATTCTATGTATGTGTAAGTGTACATTGATGTTAAAAATGTAGATATATATATATATATATATGTGTAACTATATATATATATATGCGTGTGTGTGTACGTATGTCTGTGTGTGCACATGGGTGTGTGCGCGTATGTATGTGTATGTATATATATATATATATCGATGCATGTCCATGAGTGGCCTTTCTTGTGCTCTTGCCAGCATGCAACACCCATCAAAGGAAAGTATGGCGTTTGACCCTCTCGGCAGGCTTTGCTCAATTAGATGAAAATGGTTTCAAGAACTTGCCCCTTGAATAGTAAATCCAATCAACATGGAAAGTTGAGAAGTTGGGACTGTCCTGTACCAGGTGGAGATCAGCCTGTGGATGCCTGTGGTGTGTACGTTTGCCATGTGGAGTTGGCTAAAGCACAAACTACTGCGCGATCCATCACAGTCAAACAATCAAGAGATATCAAGAGTTGCCAGCCAGCAATGCCTGGCTCTGTGGCTGGGTGGTCAAACGTGAATTCCTTCAAATTGGCATCCCTTCCTGTTTAGGAAGGTGGGTGGACCCCAGCGAAAGTCCGAACAGCTGCAAAAAGAAACCTGTCACGAGATAACACTACTCAAATTGTCCTGGTTTTGCTGTGGGTCCTGCGCCGCACGCGCTTAAAATGTGAAAAGCCACAGCTTGGAATTTTGAGCTACATGAGGCGTCCAAAGCATCCTTCCACAGCATTTTGTGCTGTCACGGCAAATGGCTACCCACTTCTAATTACCAATATTGGGCCACACTGCACCAGCTCACTGACTGAGTCTGACTCCAACCCAAGCGCCAAAGCCACCAATCGACACTTAACCATGAATGCATAGACCCTGTCAAGCCGCACTTACCTTGATGACCACCCGGTTAAAACTGCGCATTGCTGGCGCTGAACGGACTGCTGGTCACAGGTTTACGTCGACTCAAAAGAGCCCCTCACTCACCATAACTCACCTACCCCGCATTGGTCCAAGCAAAAATGAAACACAATCAGAATCATGAAGATTCCTTTCTGAATTTGGGATCGGTGATGGGGGTGTGTCCAGCAATAGTCTCAATAATTACAAGTCACCTTGGAGTCTGAACCTAGCACGTTTAGATTCCGAGAAGCCAACCTCACTGGCTGCAACCAGCCGTAGCCTAAAGACACCAGTCGACGTAAAACGATGATATCCTCCTCCAATCGGGGAAAGCGGCATAGGTTACTCAGAAAGTGCGGTTACAACACGTTGCAAGTCAACAGGTGACAGAATGATTAGTATTTACAGTATTACAAATAACTACAGTGTATGATTGCTAGTTTGTGGGTAAACAATGCCAAACCTGCGCTGATGTTCGCATGTGAAAGTACCGTGCTCGACTCCCAACGGAAGTTTGATGGATTTTGCCGGCACCAGGAGTACCACAATCCCAAGCCTGGTGCCGCTCTGTCGCGGATTCGGTCTCGTGGGGATAGGCGCTCTCACCTCGTGGCAGCTTGGGCCGGTGTCCAGGTGAACCTTCACGGAGACTCGCCTGGTGAACCAGGGAAGTCGGTCTCCGAAGACTCGGTCCGAAGAAGCCATTTCCGGGCCCATGACCGGTCCGGCTCTGCGCCAGATCGGCCATAAAGGAACTAAGCCTCAGCAGGCCGCCCTAAAAGTCACTCTTGGAAACTCTGAGGGTTTCGTCTGCCGAAGCGTTGCAGCTCAGTGCTCATCTTCTCCCGACTTCACACGGCAAAGTCTGTATAGAGAGCTATGCAACAAAAGCCGTACTTGTGGGAACTTCACTGAGCAAGCTAGACTGGGTAACGCCGGTAACGCGTATAAAACCAACTCAATCTGTCATTGAACGCGCCAAGGTCATTGTGACCAGGGTGACGAAGACACATGCATGTGGGAGCAGCTGTGGATCGTACCAAGCCACACCTGAAACTAGTCGGAGCGGTGCCTGTGTGAGGGTTTGGAGCAAAGTGACTCATTGTACAGCTGCTGGTGGTTGGCATAGTCCTGCTGGTGGTTGGCAATTGTCTCAGCCATTTATGCCGTCCAATTTCCAGATCAACACCGGGACAAAGTGTTGTTTTTCCTAGCTGCTTAGTTGCTTTATTTGTGTGGTTTTTAGCGCTGGTTAGGAACATTTATCCCTCTGGCGTGGTTTAGAGTAGAACAATTCTTCTTTCCTTGTTCTTACTCTTGGACTGCTAGCTAGCTAGCTTGCTGGCTCGCTGGCTGGCTGGCTGGCTTGCTTGATTGCTCGCTTGATTGCTTGCTTGCTTGCTTGCTTGCTCGCTTGGTCAACTGACCGCTTCCCGCTCGAGAACCATCAAAAATCAAACAATGCCAACAATTGTGCCTAAGAGCGTACCAAGCCGCAGCAGGATTTGATATTTCTCAGAGCTCAGACTCAGAACCATAATTTAAATACCTTCGGAACCCTCCACGCACTCACACCGTTCCGCCAAATGTCACACTCGCTAAAGCCCTGGAAGCAACTTTGGGACCCGCGGAAAACGTGGTGTGACGTCGAAACGCATCGTTCGTGCAGCGTGACAGGAACTTGGGGCGAACAGGGATGACTCAAACCATGGGGTGAGCCAACCCCTCATCACTCGATCCAGTTCCCTCTTGCGTCGCCAGCTCCGGGCTCATCGAGGCCTTTACGACCCTCTAGCGACCAAGGAGTTCGGTCGTCGGTCAGGTGGATTCGAAGTCTGCACTTCCACTCACCCGAACTGGATCGGACCCAAGCACTAGAAGATCACTAGAAGCTAGAATCGCGCACAGAAGCACGGCTAAGCATTGAGAAAATCGAAGAAATTCACTGCCCGCATGAAGTGCCGCAAAATGAGCAACCACCAGCCTCCAAAGTCGAGAGACACACGTCTTTTTGTGGTCAAGTGTGGAGCTTTTAGGGAAGGATCCAATTCTGACACATATTTCTATGCACAAATAATATCTTGGAAGATGTTTGTTTGTATATGATAAAGACATAGTGATTTGCACATATGCAATTCTATGTGCACGGATTCCTTGTGCGCTTCAAGTTTGTCCTCCGATACAGCCGAAGACCGCTGGGACCGTCTCACACTTTGGCGAAAGACTTGAGGGTGGGAAACCCTGAACTAGGAACAAAACAAAAGCCCATTCATGCTCATTCCCCGCTTTGGATCCTTGCAAGTCCAGGTTAGCACACTCTCATGCGCCAAACAACTGGAGTCTTCTGGAGGCTGCTGTGGGTCTCCTCCCAACATGGGAAGCCGGTCATCGCTGATCAGCAGCGAAAATGACCACACCACTGAGTCTCAATGAGCTACCGGGATTGTCAAGAACTGGCACATCCTCGCCAATACAATGTGTTCATGCGTTTGGAGCTGAATCCTCCAGCTGATTCTCCCAAACATATTGCCCTTTGGAGCTGAACTTGTATGGGGGCTTGACTTGCAACTGCTCACAACCTGACGGGTCTGCTCAGTGGTTCAGGTCCGGACGGGCGAAAAAATGCATCCAAAAAAAGCCCAAAAACCTGGAGCCCTAGCCTCTTGCCAGGCTGTATGCTGCGCTGTTTACACAGCGTGGCACACCCTCATGGGCGCCGAAATTGTGATTGGATTCACAGCTGTCATCGTGGACGACCAGTGGCGTTCAGGGACTGCACAGGATGATTGCTGAAGACCTAGATGTGGAGAGGCCCCACATCGAAATGTCAATCAAAAGCTACGAAAACATGACATGTCACATCAATGTGCCTGGGACCTGGGAGGCAGATTGCCTAGACCTCTACAGATGCCACCAGCAATTGACCTCTGGAGAAAGGGATTCTTGTCCCACTCGGACTCTGAAGAGCACCTCCTCATTAAACCACGAAACACCGAACAAGTCCACCTGTGTCCACCAGGACAAGCCCGACATCATGAGTGTCCCTAAAAACCTAGGCACCAAATGAATAGTGCGAGCGCTCCTGCATCCAGTAGGTAGTAGCTCAAGTAAGGTACTAGCTACCTTGTGCTTCTACTAGCTACCTAGCTACTACCTAGCTACTACCTCCCTCCTCGGCCTACCCCTCACCGGGCTTTCAAAAAAGCTTTCAGTCGTACATCTCCATGAGTCATGGTACTTGTGGCCCAATGTGACTTCAGGAAGATGAAGCAGCAAAACTCCCCACGCCGGTGATGACTGGCCATGGAAAGTGGCCATCGGATCTGGCCGTCCGCGGATAACGAAGTGCACGCAATGAATTAGGGAAAAGTACTCATCAGCAGCACTTGCTGTCCATGTGACCTGAGAGTTGAACAGCACACCAAACGGATCCAGCTTCAAATATGATAATATCAAATATATCCCGGAGGAATCCGACTCAGAGAGAGATGTAGCCTATTACATTCAGCGTCCTCCGGCTCGCCCCTCACTATGCTCTCATTGTGTCAGACTCCGTCCTGGTGCTCGGCGTCCAACCGAAAACGGGACCTGCCAAGGTCGGCACCACGTTTGCTGGCCAGGTCGGCCAGGAGGATCAAAAGCCTTGGGACCAGTTCTCTGGCAGCGACGTTGCCCGATTTGGCTTGGGAACCTCTTAGGCCCAGCTGGGCTGAGCTTCCAAAGTTGAACCTCCAAGGAGCACCCCAGGCCAAGGGGCACCCTTTCCTGAAGTAAGGATGGGAACGGCCCGTCTGAGAACGCTTGACTTGTGATGTTTCAATGCTTTCAGTCTATCTCCTGCAAGGCACGGTGCCAGCTGAGAGAAGTTCTCCGGAGACAGCGTGGCGGAGTGGGTCGACAAGGCCTCAGACATCAGGCTTCCGCACGAAGGAGAGACAATCAAAGAAGTCGGGCCATCAGCCATCTCTTATGCAGCCATTACCCATTGACAAAGTCATCAAAAAGTGTATAGATGTGTAATTTCCACCTTGACACCTGTTGCATTCCTTGTCAATTTGGTCCCAGTCACTGAGAGCAAGGAGCACAAACCCACCAAATCGCCGACCGCCTCCGCAAAAAAGGCTCGGACCATCTGTGGAGTCTGTGGAAGCATCTTCCAGGTCTTCCAAACCCCAAGCAGGGTGGAATGGGTTTCCATACGCTCTGGACTCGCGCAGGCCATCCATCTTGCCTTTGAAAAGGGGGCCTTACATCGTCAAAAAAAGATACCCATTCAGCAACATTGTAACATGTATTGGAACTCAGTTCGGTATCTAATCACAAAACATTGATAAGTTGCCTGGTTTGATGGATTGTATTTTGTAGGCTGCAGGCGGCAACCCACCAAGAAAAAGAGCATGACTGACCAGCGCCAAGTGCATGCTATAAAGGTAAGAAGAGGGTGCATGGGTTTTGCGGTGTGTTAAGGGGCCGAAGTACCTATCAAATCACGTCTTACACCTAAGCAGTTCCAGGACTCTATATAGTGGAACTTGACCTGAACATACCTATGTCATCCTACAAGTACGTTATGTCAAACCAGACCACTGCTTGAACAGAACCTCGTCGGCCTCTTCGGAACATCTTGGTTCATCTCGGTTCCAGACCTCTCCTAGTTTCAATAACCTTTATGACAAGCTTCTTACAAACCACAGCACAGAAACCGCAATCAAAAATCCGGCACTGGCGGCTGTGATGTTTCGCCCGGGCCGTTTTCGCCCAATGAGGGGTCGCCTCGACGCCGTCGAGGATCTCGTCCTTACCTTGGCCGTTCGATGCCATCCAGCAGCTTTGGTACAAACAGCCTGGCATAGTGTGTAAATGTTTCACATTGTTTCACTTGCTCGTCGGAGGAAGAGATTGTTTTGGAGAGTCGGTCTGTCCCGAAGCCATATGCATCGTCATTATTTCATGGGCGACGTCGGGGCCAACCATTCTAAATATAATCATACAATCTATATATATATATATAATCGGCCGGGGACCCAACCTCTGGGGCGCGACCTTACAAAATGATTGGGCACGGTATAGTTAAAAACCGTTCTGTAATTACTGTAACGATGGTCGTGGTTAGTTATGTTCCTGCGGAATCACTTTTTGAATAAACATACAAGGATAAAGTAGGGGTTGCAGCCTGCCAATTTGTAGTCATTGGGGTTGGAGCCCCAAAAGTTAGAAAAGTGACGTCGGGTCCCGCGATTCTATATGGCGTTATGGCGTGACTCTTCGATATGTGTATGTATTTCTATGCGTTTTACATGATTTTGGTGCAAGCTTTTTCTGCCCATAGGTCAGTTTCTCGAAGTCGTGAACCTGGATGTAAAAAATCAGGGCCTGATCACTACAAAATGACAGTCACAAATATCAAATTTCCATGAAGTCGTAGGCCATATCGTTCTGTAAGAAAAGTGTCTGTAGAGTCCAATGTTTGGCCAAGCCATGCAAAACAGGCACCTTTGCAGAACACTGTGTATAAAAAGCTGTGTACAAAATGCGTGTTTCCCTGGAAATTTCTACAGAATTGTGGGTTCTCAAGTTACACTGCTACAAAATGAGGTTCCAGGGATACGAGTTTCAAAACCTTGGTGTACCCAAGTTGGTTTTAACCAAAACTTGGGCACACCAAGTTTTAGTTCAACAAAATGTTCAAAAAATTGGTTAGTCAAAGTTTTGGTCTAAAAAGCATGCCCTTTGTAGGGCTAATCCGCTTCGCAGCGGTTCCTATTGTTTTTTTCTCACTCATTCTATAGGGCGGGGATACAACATGCACATTTCTGAAGAGACTCTGGGAGAGCAAGCAAAACAAATCATTTTGTAGCAAGGGCCAGGCAGTGCCCAATCCTTACAAAATCAAGTCCCCACATCACAAATTTCATTGATCCCGAATATGTCTGTCTGATCATGCCAGAATGATCAAAATCCTTTACTGTACAAAACGGAGGGCCCATTGGCGTCCAAATGTTGGCATTTTAACATCCTTACAGAATGCAAGCACGCTTTATGCATCAATAAAACGCATAAGTAATGAATCCTAGGACCACTCAAATGGCATCAGGGTACATACGTGTATATATTTTATTGTATATATATATATATATATTTTTTTGCCAAGTAGATCCAGAGAGGAAAACAACTGAAAACCACATTCTACTGACATTCTACGTAATTATTGTTTAGGGCATCGAAAGCCTTACAAAATGATAGGTTTTCTCGCAACATGCCTCTGTTACAAAATGAAAGGCGCCAATGTCGATACATCTTAACGTTTCCACCACGAAACCTATATAAAGTGAGGGGCCCCAACGTCATTACCCTCTGGTTTTTACAAAATGATGTGCCTTTACAGTAAGCGTCATGTTCTTATAAAACAAATGCTGTTATATGGGCCTTGAGGTCACCCATTCTATAAAAGAAATCTTGACGTCGAACCATATGCATCCAACGAGGAGTCGAACTGAGGAAGGGCGGTCCTGATACTTTGTGGGACCCCCTTGGACCCCTGCTGACCTGGTCGGTTTCATGTGGTCAGTTTCACCATGCCAGGCTGCTGCTCAGAATCCAGGCATGAAATTGATCAAGCTTTTCCTTGGCGCCAACACCATGAGAAGGACCGTCGCTGCAGCACCATGAACACTGACCCTGCACATCCGCGGAAAAAGATTGCTTAGGATGGTGGGAAGCTGATTTGCATCTGCATTCACGTTTCACTTGCCACATTTCAGGCTTTCAGGCCATGTGGCTTCAGGCTATCACGGCAAATGACCCCATCCCGGCCCCCGAATTTGATCCACCATGGTAGCTCCAATGGCGGAAGCTTCTTACACATGGCTCACATTGTAGCATCTCTGCAAGGCGCATCTTTTTCTCCCATACATGTTTTCGCACGAGCTTGGAAATTCTCAGGTGTTGCCCGATGGTTTGGCTGCAGGCTTCCTGAGTTTCACAAGGTGCAATAATTACATGCATTACACACACATATATATATATATATACCGTCTATGTGTGTCTATGTGTGTTTGTGTGTGTGTTCATCTTTTGGGGAAATGCTCATGGACTCCGAAATGATCTTGCTTGAACAATTGTGCCACATGTGTCGCACGTTCATCTCAGATCCAACCTCCCAATGTCAATGCACCCGGTACAAACACACCCGCCCTTGTATCTGACGTTATTGATGTTGACAGATTGACAAAACTAATTGCGTAACATAATAGTATATATGTGTATGATTCGTGATTCGTGCAATTTCACACAAAAACACACACAAAAACACACACACACACACACACAACAGGCCGGGGCTCTTTTGAAGAAGAGTCTCGCAGGGCAAGCAGGAGCCACAACTGCCACAGGTTCCTGTGCTCGAACCTCTCTCTGTCTCCGCTCTCGGCCTTTTGGGCCTTGAGGGGCGGTCTCGCTTGGTTGGGCTGGGTGGGCAGCAGCACGCGGAGCGCATCAGAACGACCAGGTGCCAAATGCCGTGCGCCACGGCGGCGAATCCAAAGGAAGTGCCATCCATGATAAATCGTGCAATGCTTTGGCCCAGCACATTGGCCAAAATGCTGGAGAGCAACATGGTGAGGAGACATTGCGGGATCTCTAGCTCTCCCATCTGGTGCTCGTCGAGGTTCTGGGAGTAGAAGTCCTCTACCATGATACGTGGACCGGAACCACAAAACCAATAACTGGCGAGCTTCAAGGAGATATCTTGTGCAAGGACCTCTTGGACGCTTGTTCACCTTTCACCACCTCAGGCGGCAGCAGCAGGGGACCGGCCCCATCGAACCAAGCGATCAGAGACTCCACTGACATGGTGTTATGTGGTTTTCCAATGTCTTTTTCAAACTCTTCGGCTCAGAGATCACAGGTCCAGCTTTTGCTGGCCAAACCCCGCTTGGAATCTTTTCGCAAAGGTGGGGGGGCCTCAAACATGGTCTCCGCGCCTTCCTTTTGCCGATTCTTGTCGGATTGATTGGAGTCATCCTTCGGACCACTCATGCACTTGAGGATGTCCCGCATGTTGGAACCTCAGCCAACACCATGGAGGGGACGTCCCGGAACTGCGCCGAGAAAAGTGGCACTAATGCCTTTGGCATGAAAATCCAAAGGACTTGGCCCTTCTTTGTGCACGATCACCCTACAGCCTGGGAGCAATCCCAACAGCCTTAAGCACGCCGACCCTCCTGGAGGCAATCTGACTGCCCAATACTACTCCAAAATGCCTGGCCCAGCCTGACACATCCTCCCACTGACAGCTGGTAGTGACCTTGAAGTCCTCCAGGCCACGGGTATTGTGGCTATTAAATGTGTTTGACGCCAATCTATGTATATATTGTATGTCTTGTTCGAAGCATATCCACATGTCCACATCCACATGTTTCACTCCAGGATGCTCACAAGACCACCTTCCCAAATCACTTCCACATCACGTAGCTCCAGCCGCTGGATCACCACCTCTTTGCCTCAGCGCGGAACGCAACCTCTACACATCCTGACTCATCTGCTGTGGCAAACTGAGACTAATTATGTAAGAGCTGATACGCGATGATACCAGCAGGAAAAGATACATAGTGCAACCCTGCACTGACATTGGAAGAATCCCTGAGTGTGGTGGAAAAGAGCGTTTCTGTCTACACGGCCCCAAGCCCCAAGCCGTCATTGAAAAAGATTCTTATATATCGGTCACCAGCTGCCCATGGAAGTGATAAAGCTCTGCAGATCTAGGTCGATCAAGAGCTCTCCGATGTGAAGGAAATGTGTGGACCAATAACCTGCAGGATTTTCAATCGTCAGGTCATGAATCACCACCACTCCTTCACCTCAGCCACAACGCTGGCGATCCGAAAGCTCCGGAAGGATCTGATTTGGATGTGTCACCCCGTGAGGTGAGACAAGGTTTTTTAAAGATGGTAGGCCAGCAACGCTGAAAAAAAAAAACGTTGCAGTTGCCATCATCTTCCCTGTCCCTGTGTTTTTCCTCTTGTCTCTTTCTCTCGGTGTAATCAGTGTAATCGGGAAAATCTCTCATGAATCCAGCAGAACAGCATCCAGTCCCAATGCACAAACTTGCTTGCTCCCCATGAGAACCTTACCCAAAGGAACCTCTGTGAACAAACGATCCTGAGCCGCCCCTTCCAAAAAGAGAAGCTGGCAACAGTCACAACGAACCTACACCATCCCTCACCTTGCGCCGCCTTGCGAACTTCCGACAGCCTCACCCGGAACCGCCGTGGAACTTCGACAGGGTCCCTTCCTCCTCTAAATTTTGCCCTCATGTGGCTCACAAGAGCACAAAAGGTATCCTGCATTTCAACTTCAACCTCATAAATTTTAACCTTGGGTGGCTCACAAAAGCTGTGCTACGTTGGAGTGGTTCCTTCCTGCCGGGTTGGTCACAAAAAAGCTATGCTACGTACGTTTGAACCTCACGCAGGTATGCTACCTCGTGCGGGTCACAAAAGGACTGTGAGTATGTTCTTCTCTAAAATTTGCCCTCAGTCGGCTCACAAATTGCCCCTCGTCCTATTTAAAACTGTCGCGTGCCCAAAGGAAGGGGTCACTTTTCCAAACCCAAACAGCGCACAACCGAGGGAACGCGATTGTAACCTTCTTTGTCCTTCATATATTCCTTTCTTCCTCTCAAGCGTTTCTTTCCGCCTTCCTTCCCTTCGCTTTCTGTCCTTCCTTCCTTCCTTCCTTCCTTCCTTCCTTCCTTCCTTCCTTCC